GGACATTAAAAACCATCCATGTGTGAGAAAAGCCCTCGCATTTTTCGCTGATTTTTGGGGGTCCAATGAATTTGACACATTTTGACACATACCGTCATACAATCATGTCAATGGCCATTTCAGGATCCTATGTAAGGGAATATCCCCACAAAATATGGCCTTATATGGTACAGTACCTCCATTTTAGGATCCTGGAGATCTCCCATTGATCATGGTGGGAAAAGCATTACGATTGTTAAATGGGATGATTTTTGTTCAATGGGAGAATCCGCGTGAGTTCCATGGTGATTTCTATCATCCCAATACCATGGAATAGCCCCATGAATACCCCCAAAGTCCAACGAAGTATCATCATCTTCCCGATCAAAATGGCCCTAAGTTGAGGTATCCCATCCCAATCTGTATAAGCCAATATCGAGTACCAGATTCTTGGTTACTAACCTCCCATTCATTTTGATTCCCATTCTATTCCTCTACATCCTCCCTAAATCCGCACTAAATCCCCATTAAATCCTCAGATCGGTTGTACTGCTACTTAGCTCCTTGATGTTGATGTTTGATCCCTTCATATCCAGATTGGCGTCACCAGCCTCTTTCTCTTCGGTGACCTCCTTGACGAACTCATCGTGCTCCTGAAGCCGTCCGAGGTTGGATTGGGTCCAACTTGAGAAAGTGATAACCCTCTAGGAATCAAACATGTCAATCAATGTTGGATATATGTATGTATATATATATATATATGTGTATGTGTGTATATATACATATATATATATATACAGTATACATATATATATACACATATATAATTATATATATATACATATATATATATATATTGGGATATGGGTCCAACCTGGAATCAAACATGTCAATCAATGGCAAGTGGCAATCCACTATCAATGGAGGTTTGAATTTTAATGGGAACATCATTTATGATTGATTGAATTATTTGACTGCCAACTAACATGAATGGGGGGCTCGTCGATTTCCACATCGAAGACTAGCGCAGGGTACCCCCCGGCCTTGCCACGCTGCGTCTCCGCGGATTTCAGGGTGTTCTCCTCTGCGATGCGATCCTCCTGGCAAAAATCACGGGATAGGTGCCCCCCAAACGATAGGTATTTGACCGGAAAAAAAAAAAACGATATCATGGGATTTTAATGGGATTTATAGGATTTATAGGATTTAGTTGGCTAAGTGGTTGAATTACGGGGATTGACTAGGGTTTGTAGATGTTTGTTTTAGATAGATCTATACTTAATGATGGTTGTAAACCAAGTTATCTCTAGGGGGACCACCTGGTGCAAAGGATCTCAGCTTGTAGGTAGCCTATGGTAGCCTAACAAATCAACGTCAGTCAAATATTGGTAGCTTCAGCAAAACATTGATTCAGCCACCATAGAATCGCCTCAAGCCGGGATTGGGATGCCAATGCCATAAGCCTCCAGTTGGATATGCTTCGAACTCCATCCATTTCTGATAAGTCATTGGGCATGGTCGGTATGATTCATGGTTTTGAGATCACCACATTAGTTGGCAACTTGGTTTCATGGAGCCTGCAAACTTGTGGATTAGGGGTGTCAAGGATAAGGAATACTTCACGAAATCTCAAAAAATCCGAATTGCTGGCCCAGACTGTAGGGGGCACTGCCGTGCTCAAGGCCTCAACTTGCCAAGTCCCTCGTGGCATCAACGTCCTACATTTTGCATTGCTGCTAAGTGGTTAGTAGTCATCCTTGCAGGCCAATCATCAACGGTCACCTGAAGCTGTAAGTAGTGAAGCATGGCTAAGCATGGCAATGGAAATACACCATTTATACACAGATCTCTGCCCAGAATCCCAGAAACCTGGAAAAATACCTGTATAAGTGGGCATATCCAATGTAAACAGGTTGACTTTCAATATCATGTACATATATAAATATACTATATTACATATAACATTACAACATCATGTGTGTATATATATATATACACACATATATAACCTCATATAACTACGTACGACCGTATGACTACGACTCATATGAGCATATTCCACGCGCGGGATATACATGGAGATACTGCCAGCCTTCAAGGTCTTGACTTCCTGCTGCAGAGCCGAGATCTCAGACTGCTTTTTGTCGATATCTGCCTGGCACGGTTTGGAGATGTCAGCCTGGAGGTTTTCGGGATGGGCTGTTGATCAACCAGGGCTCTTTTTGCGGCTGAATCTATATAATGATAGTTCTTTATTGGAAACTCAGAAAATCACCTTTAAAAATGAACATAGATGGAGTTGTTTCCCTTTCTGCGTCAGATTATCGAAGGGTACCATATCCATTCTAATCCCATCACACTAATATTGAAGACAGTACCCCTCAAATGAAACTCCGTTGTTGTATCTATTCATGAATTAGGGGCCCATCTGGTATTCAATCTTACTATGATGGGATTCACATCATCATCCATGGGCATCCTACATCAATGATAATGTTCAAATTTCTATGAAAATGCATGGATTTATGGATAAATATTTAACATACTCTATGTTATATTATATATATAATATATGGATTCTGATCATGTCTAAATTTTCTCAGTCATATTTCATTCCCATATTCTTCCCATCTCCAAACGCCCAAACCGCGCCTGCGAGATGGGATTGGTCTCCGCCTTCTGGATGCTCTCCTCCAACGAGGCGATAGTCTTCTTGCCTCGGAACAACACATGACCAGGGGATGTCCTGAAAAAATGGGGGGCTGAAGTCCAAAGGGTGGGACAAAACATGTCAAAACACTGGATCCTATGTACGAAAAGGGAGGAAAATTAGAGCACTCAATGCTAACACGTCGGGTGAGTTTTTTCGATCAATTGGGACACCAATAGGTGTTTTTCTGGTGACTGAAGGGTATATTTATGAAGAAAATGGGACTTTTGAAGCTTGAAGACCTCAAAACAGCACAAAAAAAAAAACTAGTTTTGGGGTTCAGGAATGGACCATGGTTTGGTCCTCAATTTAGTTGTCGTTTTGGCGCCATACCCATGGCTTGTGAATAATAGCGTTCTTCAGCCAACCAGGACGTCTGTCCCGATTTGATCCGATTTGCAATGCTGGGGCTCAAAAAAAAATGTGGATTTTCACATGTGGGTATGGATCAATACCTATAGATACATTTTTAGTGGGATGAACATCCATTTACCAGATATGACTTGGGGTTCACTAGGTACCAGGGTTTTGACCCATCCCCACATGTGCATCATGACAGCGTTTTGTTCAAGAAATCCTGGAAATTCGGAAGCCACAACTGATGTGAGCCAGTTCAGCTAGCGAACTGAGAGCTCAGCAGTAGCAGCTGAACTTGTCATATTGGTCCGACCTCGCCATGCAGGAAGTCAATCTGCTTACGCCCTGGTGATCCCAAGTTCACCCAAGCTGGAGATCGGGTTTGGAACCACTGATTTCTTTATATAGAATTGAAGAAAATTCCATTGTGAATCATCTCGTTCTATGTCCTCAACTTGTGCTGATCATTATATCTATACACATATGGGCCACGGTCAATATTTAGTATAACTCCAAGTCATCAATTTTTGAAGAGTGTATTATCGTTTGTCAGGTTTTGGGAATATAGCAAATGTTCTCGTTTTTTGAAGAATGTATTATCGTTTTCCAAGCCCCAGTTCAATTTCAAAAAAAAAAATGTCTCGTTTCTCGAATACGACTTTCCATTACCGTAAATTTTGGTTGTAGTTCATATCCATATATATATATATACATATGAAATTATGTGTGTGTGTGTGGTTACCAAGACAGACAGAAAAGTCAGTGACCATTTTGGAGGGGTCAGAGCACCCTAGTTCCCCTGTTCCCATGGATGGCCCCATCTTGAAATTGGTGAGTTGGAGGATGGTGGAGGGGCAGCTGAAGAGAAATCCAAAAAAAAAACAAGTTTGAAAGATGGGGTGTGTCTTAAAATGGTGTATACATGTGTATACTGTAGATGTACCCCAAAATGTGCAATGTCAATGACGGAAAATGATGATAAACCCGTGAGATCCCATATTGGAATCATCGACCAATGGTAGATGTTCCATGGCCCACATCCATCGGGCCTGCCCAAAGTACTCGTTAATCCTAGCCCAGCCAACTCAATGAGAAGAGTTCAAAAGATTGTCCTCTTCCCATACAGTGCGATGATGGTATGATATGGCTGGCAACAGCCAAAATGATGGTATGATATGGCTGGCAACAGCCAAAGACAAACAATTGCAATGTTTATGAAACATGTTAATCCATTTTTGCTTCCGTTTACTGACTAGCCGCTTGGCTTGAAATCTGCATTTTTCCTAGTCAAATCGAGTGAAATCCATTGAAATCCTTCATGTTTGCTGGTAGCTTTAGTTGAAGTCCCCATTATTAGGGTCATTTTTGGTTTGCTAACATCTCCTTTTTGCTGGACAATGCCCCAACTTCTCCAGGGAAAAAAACGCAAACTTTGCTAGTTCAACTCCCAATTTGGTTGTTATATGTTGTTATAAAAATCCTTATGTTGGCCGGTTAACTTTTTCTGATTCAAGAAATCCCCTATTACTCTGATGTTGTTGATCCCCATGTTTGTTGCTTCACTCCCCTGGTTGTCACTTTCCTTCACACAGCCGCCCTTCTTCATAGCCAAGGAGCTCCTTCTCGGCCTCACCTTCGATCTTGTCGGCCATCTTTTCCATCATTGACACCACCTTTTGGAAAGTCAACATCTCCCATAGGTGGTTGGTCAAGAATGGGAAACTCCTTATCTGCTTTGGCCCTTTGCATGCCTGTACATATGATTCAATACCATCGGGGTATTATTCACACTATCACTTGGTTTTCGAGCACTCAAGGGGCCCCTGCGGTACAGCGGAGTCACGCATGTCTGCACATGAGTGAATGGTTATGGGTCTGGACAGGAATGATATCTTCACTCCGGTCTTCTCCTGTCTGCTTTGCCCACACATTCTTACCCAGCCTGTCTAACTGCTCATGGTAAGCAGTCTTTACACTTGCGAAACTTGCTAGAATCACCGGGTGCATGGCCGCATCCCAGGGCGTGATAGCACGTTCCGTGCCTGGAAATCACTACCTCAGCTGGCGCTTTGGCCAATGCGACCTTGTCCATCAGCTCGCGGTTGGCCTTGTGGTAGCATTCGTTGTCGCGCATCAGCTTCAGGTTGAGCGTCTCCAGCTCGTTGATGCTCATCTTCAGGCCCTCTTTGAGCCGTTTTCCCAGGACATTCAGCTCTTGCGGGTCCACCGGGTTCCGCTGAGCTGCAGCCTTCTCAGCCTGGCGTTCTGCTACCAGGTCCTCATACTTCTTCTTCCATTCCTTCTTCTCATTCTCCTGCTTGCGGCTTTCACCAAGCTGCGTTTGCCACCTGATCTTCATGTCCTTGAAGTCGGCGATGGCCTTGTTCTTGTCCTGGTCAGCACGCTTCATCTGGCCTTCGACCTCGTGCTTCATCCGAACGGCCTCGTTGTAGAGGTCTGACATCTGTTGGTATTTCTGCTCCTCGTCGTGGTACTTGGTCTCCAGGTCCTTGAACTCTTCGGCCTTCTTGTCGAACCGGTCATGCCACATAGCACAGTCGTGGCGGAAGATGTCCCGGTTCGTGGTCATGTTCTTGAGCATCTCCTTCTCCTCGTCGATCTGGCTCTTGTAGAACTCGACGTCGTTGTAGGCTCGCCAAACCTCGTCGTCCTTGGACTGGATCTTCTCCTCGGAGAGCTTGACATAGTCCTCGTGGATCTTCTTGGCACGCTCGTAGAAAAGTCTTGCCGTCGTTGGAGACATTGGCAAGTCTTCCATTTTCACTTCATCCACATCCATAGCGTCCACCGGGCTCGCCATCTCTTCTGCTTCATCTCCTACTCGATCTCGTTTCATCGGTGGTGCACGGATCTGCTCCACCTTGGGCACGATCAGATGTGCCGTTGGTGTGTTCTTGAAGAAACCAGAAATGATCTTCTCCACGATGATCGCCAGGACCACGGTCAGGAAGAGCGTGACATAGAGTGCCAGATGTCCTCCGTGATCTCCATCATCCGCATTGTTGCCACCGATAGGTTGTGCGGTGGCTGCTGTTGTCATAGCAGCCATAGTCGAAGCTACCATCAGCTTCTGGGAAGTTGCTCCTGCGATCAAACCCAGCATGATTGATGCCGCGGTCGTAGTGACCTTATTCGGCTTCAGCTCTGCCACCTTCATGACCTCCTCGTCCGTGAGTAGAAGGTCCGACTCCTCTTCGATGGGCAGAGTCGGCAAAGTCCTCGTCTTCACTGGGTGATCCGGCACGTTGTGGAAGTCCACCTTGCCACACGTCAGCAGCCGTAGGAGCTGTGGAGAAACCATGGCTTTGGTGAGAGCGTCCGAGAGCATTGCGGTCGTGGGGACGAGAGTCAAGAGCCGCAAACGTCCAACCAGTCGGCACTCTCGGATTCCCAAGACATACAGCCTCTGAACCTTGTCTTGTGGTAACGTTTTCTGACCTGTTATCAACTGCCACAGGTCATTGCAGTCCATGTAGAAATCACCAGGCAAACTGGGGTTTCCGTTCTCCTGCAAAACAACCAGTTGTTTGAGATCTGGTGCAGGTACATGATGCATCAGTTCACTGATTCTGGTAGTAATGAGAGTTGTGGATTCTATCCCATTGACCATTGAGAGTGTCTCTGCGTGGCTGGTGCTGTAGCTCACCCTTTTCGCCTTGGAACCGTGTGCGTAGAGCACATGCATAATTCCACCGTGTCTTGTGACGGTTTCGTCGGTGAAGACCTCCTCATGCTCGACGGTCTGATGTCGCCATCCATCATCGGCCATCATCACCAGAACTCCTTCTTGAGCATAGTGGCGTCCCTTCGACGACGATGATGCGTCGTGGACGCAGACAATCCTCTGGTTCTCGGTCTCGAAGTACCGGTAGTGCAGTCCAGCATCTGCGAACTGCTTCACCTTCTCAATCACCAAGTTGGCCGTCTTGAGGTCTCTGATCTCTGCCATAGTGACTCGTGCTTGAAGAAGAGAGACATCAGAGATGATGTCCAGCCTTGTAGCTGTGATCCACAGCAAAGCTCCCAATGCCGATCTGAGCTCTGTGATCTCCTCTGCGGAGAGCTTGGATTCATCAGCTCTTGCAGGAATCTTCACCGGCTTGAGCTTCATGGCAAAGTCCTTCTGTGTGATTGCGAAGCCATCCTCAGTCTGGCTGTAAGTGCATCCACAGTGGTCAAAAGGAAGCTTTTGGCGGCTAACCTTCTGGAAACGGTCCACAAACTTCTGATAGTGTTGGTCCAGCCACTTCTGCTCGCCCATCACTGCCAAGTCGTCCACATGTGTAGTGATCATCGCATCCAGATTGTCCAGGGTGTCGATCTTGTCCTTGTTGGCAGTCTTGAAGGCGAAGCTGTTCTCGTCCAGTTTGGATCGATTGGCTCCCAGGTCGTCCACCAGGAAGGAGTGCAGCGATAGTTGCCATGCAAGAGGTGCGTCATTGAGTCCATAGATGGGTTTCAGTGCCAGCAGCCCATGTTCGTGTAGAGAGTGTTCAGGAACTCGAAATTCCGCACTGATTGCCTGTAGATGTCGCCACACGTTCATTGGTGGAAAGATCACCACTTCTCGGGTCGGAGCAGAAAGACCCAATTTCCTCAAGGCTTTCTGGATGGCCTTGAAGTCGAAGCCTTTCAAGAAAGCTCCAGCGATGTCCCAGGACTCGATGGTTTTCCTGGATCTCCTCTTCCGAGCTGCAGTTGAAACCAGAAGTCGTTGAGAAAGACGGGTAGCTGTTGTGCTCCTTGTGGTCAGCTGTGACTTCTGCTGATCCAAGCAGCCTCTGGCGCACAGCCTGCTCTTCATCTTGAGTTGCCCTGATGGCAACCTCTTCCATTTTCGAACCCACTTGGTGTCGATCTTGACCATGTCTGCCGTCATCTGAAGACGGTGTATAGGCCGAAATGCCTTCTCGTCCACAAACTGCTGAACTTCACTGCGGTCTGCCTCCTCGATCTGTGGCCACCATTTGGGGTCGATCTCATGGTCCTCAAAGGTGCTGGTCTCCGTGTCAACCTTGTAGATCTCTCCAGATCGAAGACAGGCCATTGCAGAATGATCACTCTTGTAGGCGATGTGGAACAAGTAGCCCATGGCCTTGCGCTCCTTCTCCATGTGCATGGTGAGGAAGTTGCGAGTGGTCTCCACCATGATGTCATAGCCATAGCGCCAATCCACGCTCAAGTCCAGTTGCACCACGTCCTTGTACTTGGCGGCAGCATAGTAGTTCTGGATGAATTCGAAGTCTTTCCGGACGTACTCCATCTTCTGCCGTTTCTTCTCTGGAGAAATCACCACAGTGCGAGTCTCAGGTCCATCTCGCTTCTTCGGCACATTCTCAGCTTCCATGCTGGCAGAACTTTCGGTGCGTTGCACCGGTGCAGGGTTCGTTGAACTCGTAGTGGATGTTGGCCTCATAGGACAATCGCTCTGCTCTTCAGCCATCTGTTGGTTGTAGTAGTACAGGTACAGAAGGCACACATCTTCTCTCGGATGTGTTGTGATCTTCTTCATCTTGATGTGCCTATCTGACTTGTGCTCCTGCACTGCATAGTTGCGACCGCTCTGAATCCAAGTGATAAGGATCCCAGTGGTGTTTGTCGGTGGCTTCAGACTTCGAAGAGCTTTTCCAAGAAGACATCCATGTAGTGTCCTCCGAGTCATCGCACTTGAGACAACGGAAGCTTCTGCAGAGTTCGGTTGGCTTCCTCGTTGTTCTTTGGGAGTTGAATCCATTTGTCTTGGCGATCTCGAACCCAGCCATAGAGGTAGACCTTGTAGTCCGTGAGGGACTCCACATAGCGCATGATCTTGTAGAGCATGTCGTCGACCTCCGGCTTCTGGACAGCCACATGGTAAATGCCTCTGAATGGTCGGATGTGCCTGAGTGCCACCAGATAGGGCTTGCCCTGGTATTGGATGACTGCTACTCCATCATCAGCGTCTAGCCGTAGAAGTAGAGCAGGTCCTCTCCAGCCAGGGTCGTCCTTGACTTCTCTGAAGAACTCAACCTCCGATGTGCCAGCTGTAAGAGCACTGAGATCAAGCTGATGCGGCCTCGTTCGGCTCGCCCGGGCAACACGGTCTTCGACCACTGCTTGTTGAGCCTGGGCCAATGCGGATTGCCTGATGCGCATTGCCCGTTCAAAGACGGTGACATCTGTCTGAACTGATCCTTCATAGCTCATGATGCCCTCAGACTCGATCTCGTAGAAGCCTCGGGGTAGTACTCCGAAAACTGCCATTGCAGGAGTCACTCCCTTGTAGCTCAAAGTGAGGTTCTGAGCCATAGCGCTCTCTCGGCCGATCTCCTCTGGTTGTGGATTGAGACCTTGACGTTGGAGTTCAGCACGAAGTTTGTACATCGTCAGCTTCATGAGTTGAACGTGTCGTTCCACGATGCCAGTGCCAGTATGCTGTTCAGCTCCATGGCCTGCAGTGGTGCCACGAGGCTGTCGCTCCACGTTGAGCCTCTCAAACTCGCCTCCAACTTCATGGCTCATGAGAGCTACCTGCTGATCCATCACCAGCTTCTCAGGCGGACCAAAGGTGTAGACCCACAGATGTAGTAGAGCTTGAAGCAGGTCATCAGCAGCTTGTCCTTGGATGGTTCCACAAGCTTTGAATCGAGTGGCCTCGTCCACCAGGAGCATGAACCAATTGCCTTCCCAGTTGAGCAGGTCAAGTTGAACTGCTTGGCCGAAGACGTTGGCTCCTCTGGCACGCATCTGTGGCCGGTTTGGCAATCGGACAAACTTGCGGCACACTGCACATTGTTTGATGGCCTCGTCGGCAAGCTTCACAAGCTCGGGTTCCATGCCAGCTCGCCGTAGGAGGTTGCAGAAATCTCCGGAAGGAGAGTGCCACATGCGCTCATGCAAGCCCAGCAGCAACTGCTTGCACTTGGCATAGTTCTCCTCGGCATAGAGCTTGGGAAGTCTCCTGAGAACCATCTTGAGGTTGTAGTTTGGCCGAATTGGCCTGATCTGATCTCTGGGTGCCACCTCAAACTCCTCTGCAGCCTCATAGGGTGTGTCCACCATAGGTGACTCACCTTCTGCAGTGGGTCGCTCCAGAACTTGCGCTTCACCAAGACTGTCATCTTGCCGTGGAGGTAGTCCAGGTTGTGGTGGAATCTTCCGTGGTCGTGAAGATGGTGTCGATGGTGAAGGCACCAGCTCTGGCTCAATGCCATACAAAGTGACCATCCAGTTCTCCTCATCAATTGCCTCATGGATCTGATTGTGACTCATCTCTCGTAGATCTTGTAGAGGTCCAATAGTCCAGTCCTTGACAGATCCTTGTATGGGCAACCTCAGATAGGATGACTGAAAGGTCAGTTGAGGTTCAGCGTTGTCTCTGCAGAATGGCCTCAACTCCAGAAGAACGCCCTTGACCACGAAGTGCTCCTTGAAGATGTGCTTGAAGAGCACCATACGCACTGCGTCTTCCAACCAGTGCTTGTAGTCCAGCATGCCAGTGGCTTCATTGAAGATGCCCAGAGTGGCATTCACAGTCTCCAGGAGCAGCTTCTTCAGGTAGTGCCTCTGATGTGTGGTCAATGGGGGATTCATCCGATCTTCCAGCTGTATGGCCGGCAGCACATCCTCATCAGCTCGTTTCGTCCAGTCTTTGACAGGATCAACTGGTGCTGCCTTCGACTTCGGATCACTGGTGCCAGGTGCCCACTTTCCATGCCTGCATTGTTTCGGTATCATCGTGTGTGGAATGTCTTTGGGACAGGCTCTTCCAAGTTGACACCTGACGCACTCATAGTGATGTGAGATGTTGTGGTAGATCAGGTCCTTGGGCCATTTGGGCAACTTAATCAAGTTGCGCTGATTCAGGAAGGCCACAATGTCTTGTTTCATCCTCTGGCACATTGTCTTGGGGTACACAGCAGCTGCAGCAGTGCGACTGAAGCCTCCAGGAGCTTGACCTTGTAGTTGAGCATGTTGGCGGCCTCCATGTCCACTGCATCTCAAGCAGGTGCGTGTCCACTTGACATTGCCACCAAGACCAGTTGCCTTCTGAACAGGTTGGCCATTCTCATCCACAGCGCCATGCATGCATTGATCAACCCGTTGTTTCCTCCGGTTGTCAGGTATTGCATCCAAGTCCAAAGGGTTGAGATGACTTGGATACCACATGGCACTTCCCCAGGGTTGTTCAAGACCATAACCTCGATGATGTCGATGTTGTTCCCAGCAGGTTTCCATTGTGAAGTCGAGAGAAGGTCTTGCTTGCATCCGCTCTTGTATAGTCGTTCTTGAGGATCCTTGGTATTGCCAGCCTGTGACCATGGAGCACAATCCAGGCTGTGGTGAATGTAGCCTGGTTGGAACTCCTTCTGAATGGCTCTGAGCATCTTCTGATGCAATGGGTTGTTCAGGTCCCAGCCATACCGGTAGTCCACGGGGAAGCCCACGATCAGACCTGCCATCAGACAGATCAGGCTGAGTCGACCTGAACCACTTGCAAGCTCCCACATGTGCCACTTCAGCTTGCGGCCCTTGGCCTTGGCAAACCAAGATCCAAAGTTCTGTGGTGTGACCGGATGCAAACCTGTCTTTGAGTAGAACTCTTCAGGAACGGCCTTGTAGCGCCTGTTGAGCTTGGCCAAGTCTGCATCCTCAGGGAACTTGTCCTCCACGTAGGGCTCGGAGCCTCCATGTTGCCAAAATGGCATCTGATGTTGGTGAAACTTCATCATCCGCAGGGGTCTTGTCCAAGACGTCGACCTTGTCGTAGTAAATGATGTCGTGAGAAGAGACCCTTGCCTCTTCTGGGGCCAAAATGGCCGGTTGTGAAACTTTTCCACCTCCGGTGTTCTTGGGCTCGATGTCCACGACCTGTTTGGTCACTGCATCTTCTGTCGGTGGCTGATCGTTGAAGCGAACCTTCTTGGTCGATTCACTGCATGTAGGCGGCGGCTCCACAGGTTGATGTCCTGAAGAAAGTTGTGAGCCATCGCCACCAATCTTGCCGATTCCGTCGGGGTTGTTGCCAGAATCTTCAACCGATTCTTCACTGGCTTCATTGTTTTCGCCTTCACCAATTTTGCTGTCTCCACCCCGGTCAACTCCTGCCTGCATGCCCACATTGGACACGAAGCAGTGCTGAACTCTGGGATGAACATCGGTCCACAGTTCAGTGGATCTTGCAGCAGCCTTGGCACAGAAAAGGGCTGCTTCTCGCTTGGCTTGACCTGGAACTTTCTCAGAGTTGCCCTGGTCGGTCGGCAGCATGTAGTGCCCACTGTCGGTGAGGAGCAGCCTGAACATGCGGTGATGCATGATGTCGTCCTGAGGCGCTCCAACCATGATCAAGCCATCACCTCCTTGAAACCAGTTGCTGAAGATGACTGCATTCATGTCTCTCAGCGCTGGGTTTCCAACCAAAGCGGGACAGTAGGATCCTTCACCACCAAGCACGTCAGCGGTGTAGGTCAGAGCATGACCTCCACTAACCAATGGTACTGTCACCTGACCCAAAGTGCTTTCAGTGGTTCCATTGATGCCACTGACTGGGACAACCTTGCCGTGGTCGATCACCATCTCTCCTTGACGTCCTGCAGGCTTCACACATTGATCAACCAGCTCTCGCAAGGTGTCGGATCCCACCAGTCCTGAAGCAGCTCCAGGGTCTATCAATAGACCATACCTTTTCTCACCTTTCACAGAGAAGTATTGACCATCCGTGTAGGTGTTGTGGAAGGTCGGAAAGTTGAAGGAGTGCTGCTTCTCTGGCTTGATCATCTCTTCCATGGCATTCCCATCCGTAGAGCTCGTCGTAGATGTAGCGAAGACCTTGTTGGGATTCCTCCGGGACATGAAGTCTTCTTCCTCGGATGAGGTGTGGATCACATGCTTCTCTGGTATCGTCTTGCCGGCAACATTCGACTGGATCTTGTCCTTGACGAAGAGGGTGCTGTGCGAAGACGATGAAGTCGAAGTAGTGTGATCCGGAATACCTTCTCGAAGGTCCAGGGCTTTCGTTCCAGTGTACCAGTGGTTCTTGCCTCTGCCCTTCTTGCCATAACTCTTGCCGAAGCCTTTGTTGCGGAACTTTCCCTTGCCTTTTCCTTTGTAGGAAGGCCTCCATCTCCAGATTCCGCGGCCTTTTCCTTCTCCTCCTTTCTTGCCAGCTCCTTTTGCCATTGGGCAGTCTCGGGCAAGATGCCACTTGCTTCCACAGTTGAAGCATCCATCATTTCCTCCTTTGCCTTTGCTCTTGCCTTTGTAGTACTCCTCGTACTTTGCCTCGGTGTTGGAAGCCTCGGTGTTCTCGGGCTCCACATTGGCTGATGTTGTGGTGTTGTGTCCATCGGACTCCCATGTAGCATCATCCTCATGCCACTCATAGCCATCGGCGTCCTCGTAGACCCATTCACCTGGTCCATCTCCATCAGCTTCATAGCCATACCACCAGTCGTACTCGTCGGCATAGTAGTCGTCGTAGTCAGCAGCCGTCTCATAGTACTGGTTGTACTCCTCCGCATCATACCACCATTCATCTTCATCATGGCCGTAGAAGATCTCGTTCTCCTTGGTCTCCTTGTTGGGGGTGATGCGAAGGGCTAGAGCTCTGGCATCTTCGAACCTCCGGAAGTCTCCGTTCACCTGGAGCTTGATGTCGTCGATGGTGCGAGGCGGCAATCCAGATCCCTTGAACCACAGGTAGTACTTGGCCACGTCGTTCAGCTGCAGTCCTGCACGTTCATGAGCTTCTTCATAGCGGCTGTCGAACTCCACTGAGAACTCCGACAGGCTCAGCTTGCTTCCATGCTTTGACAAGCTGAAGAAGCTTTCCAGTGCAGCCGTCGCCAAGTCTTGGTCCATCTGGCCGAATGCCTGGCGTAGTGCATTCACCAGGAACTGCACTCCAGACGGGATCGCCTGTTGGATCACCTCATTGGTGTTGGGGTCTCGCACCTCGTCCACCGGAAGCCTCACCAGCGCGGCATCTCCTTGGTCCACGTTGCCGTCAGGTCGAGGGACCCTCAGCTGCATGGCAATGCGGTGAGCTCTGCCATACAACCTTCCAGCGATCACAGGGCCCACATGTTCGTCCTCCAGCGAACATATGCGGTACCATAACCGCAGCTTCTCCAGGTAACTCCTCAGCGTGTACCCTGAGTCGCCGGGAGACCATCCTGGCGGTACATCACGACGGTATTCCGTCAGCGGTATTGTCCCGCCTGTCGGTGCGGGTGGTGCAGCCATTGTTGTAGGTCTCCTCCAGGAGTGATGCCGTCCAGCTCGTTCAGGTGGTTCTTGTCCAGGTAGTTCAGGAGGTAGAGGCTAGGCCACCAGCAGCAGCGAGAGCACCACGTAGAGAACCTCGTAGAAGAAGACGAAGTCCAGGATGTAGTGCGCCAGCAGCCGCAGCGCCAAGCCCGATGCCGTAGAGCAGCTTCTTGACGCTCCAGCAGCAGCGCCCAGCAGCCACAAGCAGTGATTGCGGCCCCCGGAACACTCCAAGCGCCAGCCACGCAGCAGCGCAGCCGCACAACCTAATGGGCAGTAGCCGAACCAGCAGCAACGCCTATGGCGCGGCCCGTGGCAGCGAGCTCGGAGCAGAGCTCCGCTACCAAACTTGGTTTTCGAGCACTCAAGGGGCCCCTGCGGTACAGCGGAGTCACGCATGTCTGCACATGGGTGAATGGTTATGGGTCTGGACAGGAATGATATCTTCACTCTATCAGATTATCATCGCACGATTATAATGGGATGCAGCGGGGAAAAACCTCTTTATAATATTGGTTGGTCAATGGGGAGTCGCATAATCCATTATATGACTTACTGGTGGAATGGATGGGAATGGGGGAATGGGATGATTATTACTAGTGATTATGGATCATTCCCTCATTCCCTGCTAAGCACCAGTAAGATGATAATCCCCAAGATATTTGCCCAACCGGGGTGTTGAACAGTGCTCAACCCTTGGTGATTTGACCATGAAAATGATGAAATTCACCAAAGAAAAATCAGGATCAAACCAATAGAAAGTAAGTATTCAAACATACAATGGAACTATCTATCTATCTATCTATCTATCTATATCTATATATATATATATATGCTGATTATTTTGGGAAATATAGTCAGATATGATTGGAGATCCAGTCGTGAGAACTCTGCTACATCCGTGGCTTGTTTTTCTGCATCCAGTCCGATGTGGTTCCACAGCTCCGAGCTCAAAATCCACATATAGCTGCTGGGCCACTGGGTGTTCATCCCAGCCCAGATACCCTCTGGTTATTTAACATAGCCATGGAAAATGGCCCATTTATAGATGATTTTCCCATTAAAACCTCCATTTATAAGGGATTTTCCATGGCTATATTAAATAACCAGAGAGCATCTGGATAAATGATCATAATCCACCAATCTGAAGGGCCATTTAGGGGATAGTTACCACTACTCACCATCATAACTGAGTAAATCGTCATATTTCACCAATAATCAGGTTCATGGATTCAACCATTCTCAAAAATCACTACCTCTGAGTAAACCTCACATAGCTATGGACCATCACCATGTTCAAGAAGTTTAGTTTTGGGTAAAACATCTATAAACATCTTTCTTAATGGGCCATGGATGGCCATGGCTTCCACAGGATTCCATAGCTTTTTCTATGACCAGAGGCTAACCACCAAAACCAGCCCCTGGTGATCCCCTGTAGGGCCCGCCTTGCGGATGGGATTTCCGCCCACGGTGGCATCCGAGCGGGTGGTGATGGCCAAACCTGGGAAAAACGGTGGATTTGCGGGGCAAAACTGGATGATTCCTATTGTGATTGGCAGATAGGGGTTGGAAGACTCGTTTCCACTAGAAAAAAAAGGTGATTTTCAGGGTCTATGTTAATTTACCAGAGGGTAAAGGATGATGCTGATTGTTTTTACATAATTCCTAAATGACGATTTTTCATGATCATTCTTGGTTTGATATGTTGCCACTGAAAATATGTGTTCAATGATGTTTGATATGTTGCTGATCTGGGCGAAGTATCGGCATGCAATCCTATATAGCTCCAAAAAGACACAAAAAAAGGAGTGGAATGGCATCTTTCAACATGCTGCCCATCTTTCAAAATCTCAGGCGAATTGGAAAAATCTGGTATTTTTTGCCAAAAAACATATCAAACGAACCATCCGATAACGCTTGTTTACATCCAACACCGGTGGCCAATATGTCCAATGATTGCGCAAGCCACACCTACCAGGTTTTTCCATGTTTTCCCATACCCACAATGGTTGGTTTGGGAGGAAACGAGAAGCTGCAAGAACGATAGCAAAATAGACACCAAATCCATACGTTACATATAGAGCATATTATATATATATATATACGTATGCACAAACATAGAACATAGAATATAAATATCAAGTTTATACAATATAGTATTATATACTCAATGTAGTATATATTATATACTATAAAATGCAATGTGGACCTACATCCTGACTGCTCATTTGATTCTGCCTTTTCGGGCAAATGTGCCTTTTTGGTTCAAAAGGCAACTTTGCCCGACCAAAAAGCGACTTTTCCCGACCTTGGTTTCATAGTACTTTTAGCAGGAAGCGGTTTTTTTTCGCATAGAAGTATAGAAGTCAAGTGTCAATGAACAAGGCATTCTTCCATCAAACCGGCTGAAATGCGCCTTTTTGGGAAATGGCTAAAAAAATAAAGAGTTGGAAGATGTTGGAAGGTCTACATCCATTGAAACTCTCACCCACCACCCACCCATTCTTGCAGTGATTCACACAGGTGGGTACGTATGCTCTTGTTCTTATATTCGTGTTCTCGTCGTTATAGGTACATTCTTCGTGGTTGAGGCCCCACCCCCACTGCTTCTGGCCACTGTTCAATGGGAATTTCAGGATCCTAAAATGGAGGTACTGTACCATATAAGACCATATTTTCTGGGGATATTCCCTTGCATTTATATATGGTAGGTACCTCCAATTTAGGTTCCTGACTGACGTGGCCATTGAACTGTTGTCAGTAAAATGCAACTTTTCGTTTACCCATCTTCATCCTCACAACGCTGGGTTTCACCGAACATCATGCAGGAAACATCAGGAAAAAAAAAGATCTTACAATACCTTGGGTTTTGTACAGAAACTTATACTTCAATCACGTGCATAAGCCTTCCATTCCATGGTACATCCCCATTATATCCTCATCATCCACCACTGGAATTGTCCTTGGACCCGATTCAGCTCCCGGCCGGTTCCGCCCAGCAGGGCCGCCTCGGGGCGAAACAGCCGGTCTCGTCGACCATCATGGGGTTAAATGATGTTAAATGAATATTGACATGTTTTAACCATCAAAAAAATATGGATGTTTGATACTGTATAACTATGATAATAACTAACCATCAAAGTCTCTGTGTTCCCTTCAACGAATTCCAGGACCAGGATATTTCAGGATCATTCAGGATCATTCAGCCTATTTAAGATCAGCTTCCAAACAAAGCTGAGCACCTTTTAGACAAGCGACAAACAGCCAGTCTTAGCGACTTCGATGCTATCCCCTCAAATCTTCTCCCACAACGGTGCTGCGAGTCGTTGCTGTTTGGGCGTCAAATAGGTCCAATAAGTCACGGCCAAAACTTTCGAATTGAACTCCTTACAGCCAATCCTGTAGAACTCTTACAGCCAAAACTATCTTTGAACTCCTTACAGCCAATCCTCTGCCAATAGACTTCAATTTTCATCATCATGCAATGTGATCAATTCCCTGTAGGTCACAGTGCCTCAGCGGGTCAACACATTGCTCATAAGTTCGCAGAATCATCTACAACATTCTTCAACAACCATCAGGTGATGGACAGAAACAAATATCCCAAGCCATGCCTCACAGGCTTGATCTATAGCATTTGATGATGATTTTGGGCATTGGTCAAGACCCTGGTACTCTGCTCGTTGCACCAAAATGGTTGCTATTTAATGCTATTTCTAGATGTTCATTCACCAATTTCATGTGGGAAAATCGGATGTATCCACCCATCCCCATCTTATCTTCTAGGCTTATAGGTGATTTCATCCTCCTGTTTGTTAGGTCTCCGCTGTTGAAATCCCACATGTCTTCCCCCTTTTCTGTGGCCAAAATTCGGCCATTCCCAGGGACCCTACCAGGATGGACTTCATTGCAAACGGCATCACCTTGATATGGCTGGGACCATAGGTCCATGGTGCTGTGTTTTTCGTGGGCATGGAATGATTCAATGGGGAATATACACTGGATATATGATATCATGGGAATATACAATGGGGGTTATTTGATATAAATGATAAAAAGAACTCCCAGAACTGCTAGGTTTTGGTGGTCTTCAAACTTCAGAAGCTCGAGTTCGAGTCTTGAGACACCACATTTTGGGGGTATCCAACGCTGACAAAAAAGGGATGGACTTATATATATATAATATATATATATATACATATGTACATATATATATATATACCTGAGAAGGGGGGGGACGAAAGCCAGCCCCCAAAGCAATGCTCATGGTTTTTTTTGTCTCTGCGCTGAAGTATCTCGAAGTAAAGGCGGTTGCTAGTTGTTAGCAATCCACGATACTTTTAAAAACACAAACCTTTTTACACACGGACCCGTTTACGCATACACAGAATGTTGCACACAGACCCTTTTACACACAGACGCTTTTACACAGAAACATCTTGACACAGAGCCGCATCTGAAATCAAATGGAAACGGCCGTTTTGGGCCAAAGCCTAGCAAGAACCCTTTTGGAACCAGATTTTAAACTTTCGCGCCTTGCGGGCCGGCAATTGGATTTCCGTTCTGGGATCAAGGGGAAACGCTCGTTTTTAGCCACATCCTAGCCAGGAGCCTTTTGGAGCCAGCTTGTGGGACTTTCGCGGCTTGCGGGCCGGCAACTAAAAGGGCCTTCTGGGATCAAGGGGAAACGGCCGTTTTTAGCCAAATCCTGGCCGAAGTCTTTTGGACACAGCTTTTAAGACTTTCGCGGCTTGCGGGCCGGCAACTAAAAGTGCCTTCTGACACAGAAACTAACACACAGAGGCTTTTACATACAGACCCTTTTACACACAAACATCTTTACACCGAAAGGCTTTATACACAGTCGTAGTAGTAGCACACAGACTTTTTGACACACAAACATCTTGACACAGAAATGCTTTTACACACAGACCTGTTTACATACAGACACTTTTAAAAACACAAACCTTTTTACA